CGCGGGGCCCTCTGCACATGCTCCGAGGGCCGCCGCCAACGTCGGCCGGGCGAGCCCTTACCCGCGCGTGCACCGTCCCCATGGCCTCGCCCGCGACCGCACGCCGCTCCGCCCTCCGCGCATGCGCAGCGGCGCCCTGCGGGCCGCCCCCTCCTCCGGAATGTCCAATCATTCCGAGGCGGACGGGGGAGGTCAGTTCTGATTGGCCCGAAGACGAAAAAGGGCGGAAGGGGACCGGTTTCCCAGCACAGCGCCAGCGCCGGCGCCAGCGTGAGTCTCTAGAGATAGACGGTGTAGCAGAACGCCGGGCCGACACTTCCGGCATCCCTTCTCCCTCTCTGTCTCTCGCGGGAGAACCAGGGCGGCCGTGCCCGAGCTGCGAGAGCACCGAACGGCCGCTAGAGGGCAGCAAAGGGACGCCGAAAAGGAACCCTCCGCTGCCCCCTGGCGGAAGGCTGCGTCCCCGCCGTTCCTCCCGGATGCGAAGGAGATCCCGTTTGCCCCCGCAACGCCAACCCTGGGAGGTAGGCTGGCGGCCAGGCAGCAACTCCTGCTCCGAGCATCCCCCCTCCCCTTCGGAGCTAGCAGCTGGATGCCCATCGCGAACAGGGCTCGGGGAGCAGACACCCAAAGCGGGAAATCACCTGCCCGCTGCCCGTTTTGCCCAGACGGGCAGGGCTCCCTCTTCACCCAGGTTTCCTCGAGCACCAGCAGGGGCAAAGGGCGGCAACGGCGGCAGCAGCAACGAAAAGCTGAATCTTATTTACACGCGTGGGAAAAAACCAGAAGCCGCCCTGCTGGCACCCCGCAGTCCCTGGGACCCCTGTGGTGGGTCGCCTTCACAACAGCCCTGCGCGGCAGGCCACGGTTAAGAGTGCGGGTGAGAAAGGAGGCGGAAGGCTGCATCCGTCGCCGTTACCAAACTCACAGCAGAAGAAAGCGCCGAAAAGGGACGTCAGAATTAATGTTTCACGCACAGAGCGCGGTTCCTCTTTGCTCCCCGTTTGGTCTCCTGAACAATATTCCGGCAAAGCTGCTGTCGGTTGCGCGCTTTGGAGTGGAGCCCAACCAACCGCTGGAGAAAATCCTTAAACTAAAGTCCTACGTTGCTCCGTTTATTATACCCACCGGCTGCACCGAAGAGGACGAAAAGAAATTTTCAGAAGGCTTTCTGTGATAGGTAAAAAAAACCTTCACAGCTAGGTTTATATATCAGGCTCAGTCTGTGTCTGAATGGACCCATTTCCTGGATGCCCACCATAGACTAAACCAGAGTTTTCAAACCTTTTCACACCGCGGAGCCCCCGATCAGGAGGCAAAGCTCTAGTAGGATGTGCGGCACATGCAAAAAACAGGCAGAGCTTGGATTCCACCGTCATGGCTGCCATCTTGACTTTTTTGACCACACGCTGCAGACGCCCCTTGCATCCAACAGGCTAAGTCATAGGAAAACCACACAAGGTTAACTCTAACCAAGATTTGCACATTCTGCTGTATTTCGGCAGACACCAAACCCAGGCCCTCGGCTGTCCAAGGATGAAGGGATGGCTGGGGAATTCTGGGAGTCGAAGTCCACACATCTCAAAGTTGCCAAGGTTGGGGAACCCTGCACTGGAACATCTCTGGCCGTCCAGCCTGTTTTAAGACCCCAGGGGAGGAGAACCAACCACGCCACGTGGCAGCCGGTGCCAAAGGCTGACCACTTGCGGAGCCGGGAGCCTCCTCCCCTGGAGGTTCTGCTCCTCCCGTCGGGGGCAGAGGGAGCCCCTCCGCTCCTCTCAGGCGCCTGGCGGGCAAACCCTGCCACCCCTCGGCTATCTCTTCTGAAGGCTGAACGCACCCAAACCCTCTAGCCGTTCCTCAGAGGGCTTGGCTTCCGCCCCCTTTGCCGTCTTGCTTGCCCTTCTCCAAACACCCCCCCTTCGCTCCTTTTGGACTCTGGTGCCCCACGCAGTTCCTAGAGGGATCCCGCCAAGGCAAAGCCTGGACTCTGCACTCCTGTCGAAGCAGCCCAGGACGGCGCTGGCGTTTTTGCCAACCGCGTCCCTCTCCGGTTCACCTTCCAGCGAGCTCCCTTTCCCCCACCCTATCCCCGTGGGCTTCCTTTTTCCTGCCCAGCTGCAAAGCTTTCCGTTTCTCCCTGTTAAACGCCGTCTGATCCATTTGGGCCCCCAGCTCAAGCCTTCCTAGGTCTTTCCGAATCTCCCCCCCTCATCTAAAGGCCACCCGTCCCTGTTTTGTGTCGTCTGCCAACTTTTTACACGTCCTCTCAACTCCCTCGTCCGGCTCATGGATAACGTGCTGAACCGGAGAGAGCCCGCCGGCCCTCCGCTTGATTCTTCCCACCCGGCTAAAGTGGGGCCATTCGTGGGTGCTTCATTCTCTGGGTGCTTCATTCAGCCAACCGTGAGCCCTTCTAATAGTGGTGCCGTCTAGCCCATATGTGACCGTGTTATCAAGGAGGATGTCATGAAGCCCTCCGTCTATGGCTTCTGAGGTCTAGGGATACTATGGGGCTACGGCATTCCCCTGAGCCACTGAGCTAGTAACTCTGTCAAAGAAGATAGAGGTCACCGGTTCAGGGCCCTTGCCTACTGCAAATCTGGATGTCCCAGGTCCTCCTCCTTCCCCCG